TGCAGGTGGTAGTGGAAGTGGAAAAACCAGTGTTTCAGAGTGTGTCCCAGCTTTCCCTTCATGACTATTTTTCTTGATTTCCATGGATTCTATAATAATTTAACCGAATTTATTCTATAGGCGAATAATCGCGAACCTAAACGTACCATGGGTAGTGGTTTTAAGTATGGATTCTTATTATAAGGTTTTAACGCCTGAACAAAAGATCGAGGCTTTAAACTGGTATTTCCATAGTTTAACGGTGACCAGACGACGTTGCCAATTCTGACACGAGAATTATTGCATAGTATCTTACATACTTATTTAGTATATTTATTTAATGTATTTACTATTTCAAATATTAAAGTAACTATAATTTTGATCACCCCAATGCCTTCGATTTTGATTTACTATTGGAAAATTTAAAAGATTTAAAAGAAGGGTAAGGATCCATAAAAAAAATTTTTTTTTTTTTGTTTATGTAGTTTCTCAAGAGAAATATATCCAAAAAAATTTTTGTAATTAATTTAGAAAGAGAGTTGAGGTCCCGACCTATGATTTCGTGACACATTCTCGGTAAATGTATAAAGTTATTGAATCCAAGTTGTTTAATGTTTCATTTTTCATTTCACTGAGAACATTTAATTTGAAGACTTCCTAAATCAAATACTTTGTATGGTGCAAATGTCATTATATTTGAAGGTATTTTTGCACTCTATGATCGTAGAATTATCAATCTGATGGATTTGAAGGTCGTTAAGTGTATACCACCATTCTTTTAATTAATTTGTAATATATGATTATAAATTTTCAATATTTCATTTTTAATCGCTTTTGTGTAATAGATTTTTGTGGATACTGATTCTGACATTCGGCTTGTCCGTCGATGTACTCTAGGCTTCACTTTTTTTTTTCCTTTTAATTTCCTATTTGATAATTCGTGATATTAAAAGGATTATGTAAAAATTATTCAGTGAAACGGGACATCGAGCAGCGTGGCCGTGATTTAAGCGGTGTTTTACAGGTATTATGTAAATAATAATTGGATTTGTTAATACGGATTGACAATTATGGTCGATTAAATACATTTCTTTTGTGCATAGCAATATCTTAATTTCGTCAAGCCTGCTTTTGATCAGTATATACAACCTACCGTTAAGAACGCTGATGTAGTATGTGTTTTTTTTTTTTCAAAAAAACAAAAAAAGAACAATGTATATATATATTTAAATAAATTTTGATTCACATAAAAATTTGTTACGGCAGATAATTCCTCGTGGCCTTGATAATTTAGTAGCCATTGACTTAATTACTAAACATGTTCAACGACAACTTAATGAACGTCGTGATAGTTTTCGATGGGAACTCCCGAAAAAAATAGATTGTGACGAAGAATTACCAAAAAGTGTAGTAGTGCTTGATCAGACGCCTCAATTGAAAGTGTGTTTCATACGTTGTTTTGTTCGTGCTTACAAATTATCATGAAATTCACATAATTGCATTTCATAGGGCATACATACAATTATGCGTGATCGTGATACACAGCGTGATGACTTCATATTTTATTCTGAGCGCCTTGCAACCTTAGTTATTGAGCGGTAATGCAGCAATCGTTTTTTTAGCTAACGTTCTGACATTAGAATTTTTAAGTTATTTAATTTATTTTTTTTCATGATGTTAGTGGTTTAGCAGAAGTTACTTTCAAAGAGCATCAAGTCACAACTTCGCTTGATTTACCATACATGGGCAAAAGATTTGATGAACAGGCACTTGTCTTACTTTATTTTTTATTACCGTATATGTTACATATATTTTTAAAAAGGTTTATAATGAAATATATATTAGATTTGCGGCGTTTCCATTCTTCGTGCCGGTGGAATAATGGAAGCTGGTCTTCGAAGAGTTGCTAAGGACGCTCTTATCGGTAAAATTCTAATTCAAACCGACCCGACGACGGGTGAACCATTGGTATGATATAAATATTACCGTACAACGCGGGCCATAGTACCCGGTGTGATGCAAAGTTTTAAAAAACACATGAATTTCGCATCACGTACATGCATAAATAGTAATTTTATCTTAAAAAAATCGATCTACATTATTTGTTACACCGGGTACTATGGTCCGCACTGTACGGTAATTATTATTATTATTTTATTATATTCATGCCATTAACCAATGTTGATTTTGAAGCTTCATTTTGCTAAACTTCCGAACAATATACAAGATTGTTATGTCATTCTTATGGTAATAAATATTTGCGAAAAAAAAATTCTGGCAATGGATAATTAATTGCTAATCCTAAATCATTCTTGGCTAGGATGCTCAAATTGCAACTGGTGCAGCAGCATTGATGGCCATTCGTATTCTACTAGATCATAATGTGCCCGAGGTTTTTTTTTTTTTTTGAAAAGTAATTTAGTTCGGGTTGCATGCATTTTATAAGTGATTATTAAATATATAATTGTTTGATAGGATCGAATTATTTTCCTGACACTTCTCGCAACTCGCTTAGGTAACTTATTTTTATAATATAGCTTGTAATGCATATGTAAATGAGGTTCATTAAATTTATTAATTTTTTTCATAGGACTTCATGTAATTTCTAATGCGTTTCCCTTGGTCAAAGTTTGTACTTCAATGATCGACCCGAAAATAAACGAAAAGACTTTATTTATTGAACCTGGAGTAGGAAATTTTGGTGGTAAATCATTGATTTCATTTATTTCAAAGCGCTACAATTAAATGAGATTCACAATTCACAAATTATAATTATTGTTTAGATCGATATTACGGAACATAACTATATTTAATGATATTAACTACTGAAAATGATAGACGAAAGAATTAATAACTCTAAATTAATTTTGCTTTGACATTTTATTCTTTATTCATAATAAATGTTGCGGATGGTAAAATTTAGATGATGAATTAAAAAATCCTATTTGCTAAATTTGACAGATGACTTTAATAATAACCCTAACCAATTTGATTCTCTAGCTTCGAATCTCACAGTCATCGACAATTAATATTATCATTTCCATAAGTCAATCATCTACATTAACATGCATAATTGTATGATATTTT